GTGTGCCAGCTCCTAGCTCCGTAGCTTGAACTTTGCAAAAAAATCGATAAAATGATAAAAATAACTGATAATTCTAAAAACCAGTATTGTATTCGTAATCAGCATGTTCGCTTACCCTCCCGTGCCAACTCCCAACCCCGTAGTCCAAAATTTGCAAACAAATCGATAAAATGATAAAAGTAATGGGCATTTTTGAAAATAGTTATCATTTTCGTAATTAGCATGCTCGATTACCCCCGTGTGCCAACTTCCAGCCCCGTAGCTTGAACTTTGCCAAAAAATCGATAAAATGATAAAAGTAATGGACATTTTTGAAAATGGTAATCATATTCGTAATCAGCATGCTCGATTACCCCCGTGTGCCAACTCCTAGCTCCGTAGCTTGAACTTTGCAAAAAAATCGATAAAATGATAAAAATAACTGATAATTCTAAAAACCAGTATTGTATTCGTAATCAGCATGTTCGCTTACCCTCCCGTGCCAACTCCCAACCCCGTAGTCCAAAATTTGCAAACAAATCGATAAAATGATAAAAGTAATGGGCCTTTTTGAAAATAGTTATCATTTTCGTAATCAGCATGCTCGATTACCCCCGTGTGCCAACTTCCAGCCCCGTAGCTTGAACTTTGCCAAAAAATCGATAAAATGATAAAAGTAATGGACATTTTTGAAAATGGTAATCATATTCGTAATCAGCATGCTCGATTACCCCCGTGTGCCAACTCCTAGCTCCGTAGCTTGAACTTTGCAAAAAAATCGATAAAATGATAAAAATAACTGATAATTCTAAAAACTAATACTGTATTCGTAATCAGCATGCTCGATTACCCCCGTGTGCCAACTCCTAGCTCCGTAGCTTGAACTTTGCAAAAAAATCGATAAAATGATAAAAATAACTGATAATTCTAAAGACTAATACTGTATTCGTAATCAGCATGCTCGATTACCCCCGTGTGCCAACTCCTAGCTCCGTAGCTTGAACTTTGCAAAAAAATCGATAAAATGATAAAAATAACTGATAATTCTAAAAACTAATACTGTATTCGTAATCAGCATGCTCGATTACCCCCGTGTGCCAACTCCTAGCTCCGTAGCTTGAACTTTGCAAAAAAATCGATAAAATGATAAAAATAACTGATAATTCTAAAAACCAGTATTGTATTCGTAATCAGCATGTTCGCTTACCCTCCCGTGCCAACTCCCAACCCCGTAGTCCAAAATTTGCAAACAAATCGATAAAATGATAAAAGTAATGGGCATTTTTGAAAATAGTTATCATTTTCGTAATCAGCATGCTCGATTACCCCCGTGTGCCAACTCCCAGCCCCGTAGCTTGAACTTTGCCAGAAAATCGATAAAATGATAAAAGTAATGGGCATTTTTGATAATGGTTATCAAATTCGTAATCAGCAAGCTCGATTACCCCCGTGTGCCAACTTCCAGCCCCGTAGCTTGAGCTTTGCCAAAAAATCGATAAAATGATAAAAGTAATGGGCATTTTTGAAAATGGTTATCATATTCGTAATCAGCATGTTCGATTACCCCCCTGTGCCAATTCCCAGCCCCGTAGTTCAAAATTTACAAATAATCGATAAATTTGGTAGAAGTAATAACAAGCTTCCATGCTGGAAAATGACAAACACGAAAACACCATCGAGGACCTACAGACAGCATCAACAAGCATGCTTATCCACCAGCGTACAGACAAGCCACCAGTGTACAGACAAAATCCCATTCGGTTTTATATATATAGAAGGATTGCTCCGATTTTTGGCTCAAGTTTTAGATTTTAGGTAACCATACCCACAAAAATCAAAATTTGAGAGATTTTGTTTTACAGCTTCTATCTCCGCAGTATTTGCGTGCTAGAAAGCCTTTGAAATGCTCCAGCAACTTTCTATACCGACTTCGAGGCCTGAAACCTTGTAAAATTCTTCCACAATTTGCAGTTGATGAAATTTATAAAAAAAAAATAGGAGAGAAGAATGAGGAATCTATGAAGAAAAACACAAAACTCATAATAAGAAGAGAAGATAACTGGAGAATACGAAAAAAATCATCGTGAGAGACTTTATGAACGCTACTCGACCTTTCGTGATTTGGATAAATGGCTATTTGTAACAAACAAGACGAAATTTGAGTTCCAAAATACTTTTCGCAAAACAGTTCTTGTCTTGGAGAAAAGCGAACAGCAGGCACCACCTCAAGATCATAAGTATACAAGATAGAATAAATTTAAATGAACCACGAGAACAATTGAGGAGCGTAGGATGGTTTACAATCGCTGAAAGGCTGGTGGTAAGTTTCTGATCTGCGCACAGAAATTTTGGAAGTTTGCGAAGCCACTTTGACGATCCCAAAAGCTATGATAGGCTATCCTCGTAGATAGACTCTTACCAACGATAAAATCCTAGATGTTTCCAGTTTCACCGACTTTTTAAACGCTTGAGCAATTGCAGAGCTTAAAAAAGTCATAGGTCAGTTGCAGGCGATAAAGGTACGGCTGCCACTAAAGACTTCAAAGGAGATAAAGAGGAGATTAAGACATTGAGTTGAGGCGGTGAAAACGATGAAATAATAGTTGAAAGTTGCAACCTCTTTCAGCAGTATCGAGAAAGAAAAACCGCTTGTTTTATTGCTAAAACCACCTATGCTTTTTTGAAAGACACAAGGATATTTAGAGTCAGCAACAATCTACCATTCATCTGACTCATAGAACAAGCACGCTTTCCGTACGACTGATTAACAACTTTATAAGTGCATTCAAAGGTATTAGAATTCGTGCAAAATGTTCGAACTCACGTTTTCTAACGAACAACATGCGCTTTCACGAATCCTAATAGTAAGCCATGAAAACGCGTTAAAAGCGCCCATGAACTCGTTGTCAGATGTAACATGCACTCCCCAAAATTCATATGAACCATCAACGTGGCTGCCTTTCGATCGTTCTAACAGTAAATTCCAGCAAATTTAAGGCGCTTTCTCGAAGTTGACATGTTAAAGTGATCGAAAGACAGCCGCGTTGATGGTTCATATGGGAACATTCTGGGAAATGCACCACGCAGAGCGTGCTTGTATTTCTTAGTCAGTGAATAAATGATACGCATATCGATAACTTTATGATCAGAGTCTCAAGCGCACAGACTGGCCGTCACTGTGCGCAACGCGCTGTGGAACGCCTGTCTCAGTACAAATCGCTGGTGCGTATCGTGCTCTCACAAATTTTCAGTTATGCGCAGCGGCAGCCGCAAGTATAGACTGTATCATCCAGCATCGGGTTCCCCGCGGGCATGCCTTGCGAGGATGCACTGCATGCGACGTGCCTTAACACGTTGACGACCGTATGCATCCGCGCGTATGCACACCCTAACTCCCGTTTAGCATTTTCGTGCATCCGCGCATATGCACGCTAGTTTTTTAGGTTCGAACGAAAAGTTTTAAGGTAACTTCTATGCAGTAATACCACTGGTGGCCTGATAGTCTTACAGAACACAGGGCATCGCGGCAGCTGTTCAGAAGTTTGGGCCGCAAAATTGGGTAATCAGACGGTTTTTGGTAAGGTAAACACATGCTAATTACGTTTTTCCGAGAAGGTTAAAACTTTGTAAAGCTGTTTTGAAAGCAAAAAAGGATGAATCAAGCAAAAAATGCCTGGTATTACAGCGGTTTTTTTGAAAAGAAATTCCTCCAATATAGCGATTGCGCGGTTAGTGCGAGGGAAAATCCACGCAAAAACCTTGATTTATGTAAGTTCTGTTAAGGCTCTATGATATACATGTATCTCTGAACAAAGTTCACATGTTTTATGAATAAGCGTCAAAAGGACTCCAACATAATGTTTTCGTGCATCCGCGCGTATGCACGGGCCAAATGCGCGAAGGACGTTTATTTATTTATTTATTTATTTTATGCATTCAAAAAAAAATGCTCCTGACGAACGTGGTTAGTGCAGAAAAAAAAACGAAGCAGAAAAACAGCCTATCATAGACGTCTCCAGTGGCTAGATTAGATCCAAATTTGAAATCAGCAAGCAACCCACTAATTCAACAGCATAATTCATGGTGTGAAAGCCGTAAGCGAATCACTCTCAAGCGAATCTAAAGAGGAAGCACCAAAGCGAATGGGCGAATCCATGCGTGCTCGGCGGAGGACCTCTTTCAGCTTCCTCTTACATCGCTACCATGAGGACAAGCAGAAGTTGAATAAAATGGGAAGGCTTGGAAAAGTTTTGTAAACGATTCAGAGTAGCTTCTAAGCAAAAGCAACTACCGGAGACGAGCTAAGATATGGGTTAGTGCAACAGTCACAAGTTGAAAAAGATTCAAAGTTCAAAAGCTCAAATATAAAAGCAGCATTTGCAACAAAAAGGAGAATTTCTATTCACTCTCAGATTGTCATTTTGGGCGAAACTCCCACGTTAGTGGGAGTTTCGCCCAAAATGGCGCGGTCGTCAACGTGTTAAAGGCGGTGTCCGGGCAAAATCTCGTTTTCTAGAAAATCCACTTACCGGAGGTTATCCGCAAAGCTCAATCCAAAAATCCACATTAGAAGGCGCGAAAACGGCGAGAACATATGTCTTCCAAAGCCACACAATTTGAAATTCGATGGTCCCCACCAAGGCAGAGACGCGGGGTCGCTGCGGGACCCTACGTTTTAACTGTGGCGGCATGCGTACTCTGCCGCATGCAGCAATTCGGACAGCCCGGAGGATCCCGCCCCAAGGCGTAAGTTTCTCCACTTTTCGGTCGTTTAGGTCGAGCGTTATGACGTCGCACTTGCGCGATGTTGTGTCCGAGGGGGGCCACTCTTGCATGGCACTGAAATCTCAAAACCCCCATCTTGCCCGGACACTGCCTTTAACACTGCGTCGCATATTCCATGCTGGTTGATACAGCTTATACAGTCCGTAGGGTCGATGAATAGGTCATACAATATAGATGACAGAAACAAACAAATGAGTACACACCCACAATAACAATAAATCCTGTTGAGTTCTCACCTAGTCCGTAAATCAGTGGCCACATAACAGGGCAGAAAGCATGGAACCTGAAAGGCGAGGATAATCGAGAGAGCTGTTAATCACAAGTGATTACAAAGAAGTGCACGTAGGTTTGCACCTATTGTATAAGAAATCTCAATTATTTTTTTTCACCGAATCTGGAATTTCCATCCAATGTGATGATTTACAAAAAGGAGGGTGACCTGGACATGCATAACGCCTATAGTTCACATAGTCTTTACCTCGTTGATTGCAACGTGAATTGAACTACGAGCTTTACAGCAGATATGTTGCTAGATTTAGTGATTACTGCGCATGCATCCGCTGCTGGAAGCAGATTTCTCGGCATTTCCATTTGAAAATAGCTTCGAATCGCTCGCGTATTTACAAAAACTTTGCATAAACTTTGCACCGTCATAGCAAGAGCATAATGACTGCTAACGGAGCACAAAAATACTACGGCATTTACGACATCCTTTTTTCAAATTATTATCGGCAGCATTACCAATAAATGATGGGAGAACGAAAAAGTCCCAAACTGTCATAGGACGATACACGAGATTCTGTACCATCTACGATCGCAAAATTTCTGTTTGAAACGTTGCCTAATTTTGCTAAAAGAAAAAACTACTCACTAAGATAAATATAGCTAATCTATACATGTATAGCGTATGTAATCAGTATCGCAAAGTGGTTAATACTTCAATTATCAAAACAACAGATACTTTATCAATTTTTTATATACATAACAATGCATCTCTGAAAGAGATCAATTCAACCTTGGCATTTTAAATACTGGTTGTAACTCTGTATCTGGCTCCTCTTCTTCAGGTGCAGTGGTTTTTTCTTGGAAGATCGGCTTTGGTTGGGTCTTCTTGTAAGCCAAGTCAACATACATGGGATGTTTCGCTGCCTAAATTGGAAGCAATTAAAAAAAAGAACAATTTAGAAATTTGCAGTGAATGAGGCAAGCGAAATGCGAAAGAAAAACTAGACAAACCTCTTCAGCGTGTCGAAGGATACTAGTCCTAACATCAGTATCTTCCAAAAAGGATTTATTCTTCATGGTACCAATCTGCTGCGCTACATATGAGTGCAAACTGCCTCCACTTGCCACAACTAAAAAAATGTTTTCAAATCGTAAACAACTGGCAACAAAGTGTGATCTTCGACTCCCTAGATTACCTCTTCCATTAGCACTCCTTCCAATAGGCACATCGGCTGGCTTCCGGAACTGTGGCCTTTGCTGATTATCCCGCATGCGAAGGTATTTCTTCAGCCGGAAACCTGTCACCTCCTTTTCTTCTCCTTCTTCACCACGAGGTTGGAACATCTCCAATGTCAATGCTAGAAAATTCCATTATTCAGCATGGGTGTTAGAAAAGAATGACAGTCAACTTACGTGACAGTATCATTTCTTCTCTGACAAACTCGCTGGCACGATTCCTTCTGACTGGCTTCGTGACACAGGTCATGACTCCACGGGTTGACAAGTTCTGATCGTAGTAAATCCTGAATTCCAAGATCGAATAAAAGTAAAGAGAACTCAGCAGATAAACGTACCTGATTGTGCCGTCGCTGAGACCAACTAGGATCTGATTCAATTTCGGATGCCAGTCAATTTTGGTGCAGCTCTAGAAACATTATTTTAGGGGAAGAAATGAAAAAATGTGCGTATAATCGAACTTTGATTCTAAACAAGACCAGAAAACAGTCGAACTCACTCTGTCTAACTTTTCGGTCATTTTGCCCGCTAACAATAACCTTCTGACAATAACTCACCCTTCCCGGATACTCGATCTTGTACACGAGCTCAAAGGTTTCAGAATTGAAGAAAACCAGTTTGCCGGGCATATCCTCGCCAGGTGACGATGTGCCAGTATACACCAATTCTCCTCTCGGTGAAAAGCCACAGTCAGTGCTGAAGTAGATACTCAATATGACAGCCAATGAGTGAATCCACCTTTGTACCTTCCAAATGCGTTTTCCAAGTCATAGGCTTCGAGAAGAGGTTTCTTGTTATCTTTCAAAGACCACATCTTCAAAGAGTCATCGAGACCCCTGGAGAGAATCCTTTGCGAATCTGGAGCAAAGGCGATGCAAGTGATGGGACCTTTGTGAGCTTGTCTTACGAGGTAATGCGTATTGACCTAGAAAATAAAGCAAATTAAGAAAGAACCCTTACAACAACGAAAGTTTAATAGTGAATTATAATAGTGAATTTTATAGGATCATTTTTAGCACAGAAGCAGTCGTATAAACTGCCAAGTATAGAGACCCGTTCCAAGATCAAAGGGGAAAAAATTCATGATCAGCTACTCACATAAAGATTTCCATACTTCCAAACTTGTATGGAACCATCATCGCATCCAGCTGCAATCAACTTTCCATCCACGGAGTAGCGGCATGACTGTGGCATGGCCCGCTTGCCATTTGCCGTCTTAGTTTTGATCACCTAAAATGACGCTATTCGATTATTTCCAAATAGTTCTTGAATGTACCTTCTTATGCGTGTTTATAGTCTTTGTCATGACTTTGTAATCCCGCATACTCCATAGTCGTATAGTTCTGGAAGTTAAAAAAAATTAAGTGATAAAGATATTGGCAGCCAAAGACTAACCCGTCATCAGCGCAAGTCATAAATTCCTCCTTGTGAAAGGGATTGAACTGACAACAGTTGATCGATGCTGTATGACCTTTTGTATAGTTGACATCGACTAGATATTGATCACCTAAAAAGTAGGATAACAAAATGCACTTCAAGATCTTGAAGCTCAGAAGCCTTTTCTTCCAGCGAGAAGAAATATTCTAAGTGAAGATAAAATCTCTAAACTGTAAAGAGAAAAACACTCCGCGTGAGAAACAATGAGATGAAAAGGAAAACAGTCGCCAATTCGCCTACCTCGGATAGTTTCAGCCCAAGATTTGCCAGTTCTGTCAAGAATATGAACCTGTGCTTTACTACTGCACACTAACATATTTTCGCCGTTTGCGCTGAACGCAATATCGTTGATCACGTGGCTAAAATACAGTGAACGGCAAATTTTCTCCTTCAAAATCTCCGGTATGACTTTTCTCACCTTTCAACAGGAAGTAGCTCTTTGTCAGCACGCAGACTCATATCCATTTTTTGAAAATCAAAAATTTTGACCTGGTAATCTACACCACCAGAAGCGAACCTCACTCCATTCGGCTCGAAACGCAAAGCCGAAACCTGTAGACGAAAAAAGATTGAATTCCTACCCCCTGTCTGATAAACAAACCCTGAGCAAAAAATACAACATTCATTGGCGAAACAACAAAAAAAAACACAAAACATACCGGCTTTCCGCTATGGACCAGTTTAGCTTCGCAAGATGTGGGTATCAAATTTACTGTCGGTATCTAGAATGATTAAAGATTGAGGGATGTTTTATTGGCGTTGAAAAAGACTCACCCCGTCTCCTACATAATCTACAAAATCTTCGTCATCATCGTCATCTTTTGAAGTCTTTGCTTTTGCGGGAGCAGCGGAACCGTTCTCTTCGCCGATAATAACGCTTTTATCTGGGACAAACCCCGGAGGTAACATCGGCAAGAAATCATCTGAACATTAATAAGATAACAGTAACTGGATGAAAACACCAAAGCATATCATGCACTTACCATCTTCCTCACTCACAGTACCACTGTCCTTATGTGCACTTTTCTCTGTACTTTGCGAGTCATTCTGAAAGTATAAAGTCCAGAAATGAATCTCGTTGTGGGAAGAAAACGCGGAAAGGGTCCTAAGGCTTCACAAAACTGGGCACTTGTTATTCTCGATTCACTTCTCTTCTGTTTTGCAAAACGCAAAAGAAAGGCAACAACTGTAACAAGTAAAAAAATGAAAGGAAGGATGCGATATCACTAGTAATTTTAGACAGAAAAAAGCTCACATTAACATTTTCCGGGTCCTTTTCATGGGCTTCGGCATAACGAGCTTGGCCAGCCTAAAAATACTAAGTATTTATAACATTCAGTAGCTCTCAAAGAAAAATACATGATAATCATAATTACCAAGATAACGTACCTTTCTAGTCTCTTCAAAGATTGCGTTGAAATCGAATACTCGCGCTTTCTTCTCTGCGTTGTTCGACTTCTTCTCTAAAAAGTACTTTAAAAAAACTTAGTTCCGACGCAGGTCGAAAATTTTTTTGAATTTTCCAGTGTACAAATACCATAACGGATTTTTTAAATTGAAATAGATAAATATATGCCCAAGCACAAATACCTTGAGATGTCGATGGACCCGCACTTATTTCTTCATCTGGAGCTTCCATTGGATTTGCACCTGTAAGACAGTGTTCGGAAGAAAACGCAACCTAACGACGTACAACTGAACGTGACTAGCACGAGCATAGAAAAACCATGCAAAAAACCATTCGGAAAACATGTTCCTCAACGAACCAGGGCCTCAAGAAAAGCAAACCCTACTTCGTTTCTTTTTTTTGTGAAAAAGCTGACTACGGTTGAAATGAAGGCTACGAAACTTTTTCAAAAGTTCGATTCGAAATTTTTTGAAGAACATTTTTTATCCAACGACACGCCAGCGTTAAGCGCAGGACGCAGCTTCGCGTGATTTCCGGCAATCGTTCAACTTATATCGGTCACTTCTCGAAATCTAAACAATGCTTCGCGTATCCCGTTTATCAGCAGCTGTGCTAAATGATTAACAGATTCCGTTTAGTACAGCATTTATTTACAAAGTCATTATCCACTAGGAACTTTATTTGCCATGTTCCCCTAGAAGCATCGCTTGTTGTGTTGAAGCCCTTCGGAACGAGGCAGTTCAATGTGTTGGGTTGTTAGATTAGAATTTATCTGCGCATTAGAGTGCTTTATCACCGCGCTGAAAAAAGCATTCTCGAAGTTGATTAGGAAGCTTTCGAAGTGCTAAGTAGAAGTTTTCAAACCACAATAATGGCGCTGGCCAACTTCCATGAAAGTTGTCAAAAGCATCCAAATGCGCCCAAAGCTCTCCCAAAACCGCCCAAACTTCCCTAACCTTACTTCCTTTCTCTCAGGTTTCCTCACATGAGAAATGAAGAGAGATTAGGCTGGGTTCATACTGAGCCGCACAAAGCGGCACAGTTCCCGCACAGCGCTCGAACTGTGCTTGAAGCTGGAACTGTGCCGGTTTGTGCGGCTCAGTATGAACCCAGCCTTAGGGAAATTTTGGCAGCGAAGTCTGGCCGGGGCCTATCACGGCTAGACCGTAGAGAAGAGGAGTGCGTTTCTGCTGCAGGTAACAAAATGCTTAATTTTGTGATACTCAAGCTGCAGCGCTGGGAAAGAGCACATAGGCTACTAAGCAGCAAATGCAGTGATTGCGGTTCATCAGAGCTATCCGTACCTAGATTGCGTCTTTATGGAGCTCTTGTTGTCCGACAACATCTGACCGGCATTTACATGCAAGTGTTGTCAGGGCCGCAGGATCACTAGATGAATCTTTGAACTATAAACCACTTCTATCCCACCACTACGTCACTATTTTGAAAAGAAGTTGACTCTAGTACAATCTTCGTTGTTCTTGTATGGATTTAGTTCTTCTTTGCCTCTTCATCATAATTTTTGACATGTGTTATAGCTCCTTTCTGAAGTGAACTGCATAACCATAGGCGATATTCTTTGTTCGCTTGACGCAGATACAGAAAAGCATTAGTTTTGCTGGAAGTTTGCCCGAAAGCGGGGGATGATAACTTAACCTATCACAGACTACTTTTCTCGATCTACGTTTGCTTTTGAAGAATTTGAATGTCAAAGAGATTTGTGCACTGCTCCTTACCTTTCAGTGTTTTATGCCATCTTTTATTGTCTCAAATAATGAGCAGATTGAAACTTGTCTTCCATTTGTCACCCTATGTGTCTATTCTCTGCAAATCAAAGAATAGATTTCAGGAATGTTGTCGGGCGAAGAAGTTTTCAAGAATCCGCTTGAAGGGCTTGAGGATGAGCCTTTGAACGGACACGATCAAGTCCGCGGTGAGCCACCACCGGCATCGTCGTCTTCGTCGTCGAAGCCAGCTCAGGTCGAAGTGTCTACTGATGGATTTGTCGATGTGGATACTAATGCGCCCAGCAGTCCTGGCAACATCGCCAACGACAACCGCTTCGTGAGTTGCATCCAACTTTTTATTTTTGCTTAATTTAAACACACATATTTCAACCTTTGTTTTCTAACATTGTTCGTTGCTGCAATCAAAAAGATTCGTTTGGTGTCTAAAAATTTTGAATAATTGTTTTAATGAGACATTTTGGTGGTGGTGGGAGGGGCGCCTGAACGTTACATCAAAAATACGAAAGCCGTGTCGGTCTTTTTTTTTGAGCGACCATAGAGTAGATTGTGTTCAACTTATACTTTTATTTTTCGAGAATGATTTATTTTACCTGCTTAGATGATTTCAATTCAATTTTAAGTTATATGGAGGGTTGTATTTTGACATATACATGTCACACATGAAAAGTCCTTCTTTGATTTTACGAACTGTTCCTGGCAATTTGCAGTTTTGAAGAGCTTGAACTTCCGAACTGCCTTCATATTACTACAGATGTTCTTGAAAGTCAAAAAATCAAAAAGAAAGGAGAATAAGAATTTTAAAATAGACAGGAGAATTGGAGGTTGAAGCGCTGCAAGAATCGGCTTCAGATCAAATGAGACTCATATTCGTAGAGGCAAAAATGATGCCAATGGATAGCCCTTCGTCCCTTCCCTGTATATGTAAATGAGATGCCGGATTCTCCAGAGTTTTCCAGAGAAGACTAAGAAAGTGCTACAAAACTTATGTGATAACCTGATAGATGCCAATCTCGATAGTGACACTGATTTAAAAAGCTTAACCGCAAAGTCACTGCAGTTGCTGGGATGCTCATCGTAAGCCTCGCGTCATGTAAAATAAATACAGAATAATATCATCATGAAATAACCGATACAAAGATCGAGCACACTGAAGTTGACACATTCTCCTACTTTCGATCAATTTATATCAGTTGATCAAGATATAATTATAGAAGTTCTTCCTCACAAATCACAGACGTTTTTGCTTAAGCTCACATATTATGCGAAGCACGTAGTCTGACTTAATATCTCAATTTGCGCGCTGTGGAAGTAGTTAAGGGTTTAGTGCTATGTTATGGTGCATCCCCCAGAATTGTTCTCGTATGAACCATCAAGGTGGCTGTTTTTCGATCATTCCAACATGTCAACTTCGAACAAGCTCTTCAAATTTGCTGGAGTTAACGTGTTAAAACGATCGAAAAGCAGCAATGTTGATGGTTTATATGGGAACAATTCTGGGGATGCACGATATGTGAAGCCCAAATGGGCATCGTACAGCATATTGAAAAAAGTGTGAAAGTGAAAGTCGAGTTTACGCATGCACTGACTTTGCAAACGATCAGAAAAATGAACTTCAAGCTAGAAGGGCAATGGAGGCAGACAGGCATACATCGATTTTGTTTGCATTGAATTTATCTATGTAATAAATCCACGCGCATTCATTTCATTGTTATCAGTTGCGTCTATTGATCCTTTTTCGCTGTGTCTGAATTGACTATTGACTCACGTGTTCATGCTTTCACACTGACATAGACGGATGTTGCAGCACCGTACTGAGGAAATCAATGTGGATCTTGACGCTGATAATGCCATATCTGTCGACATCTCTGATGCGTTATCGGAAAGAGATAAGGTATGCTTATCAGTTGTTTTTGTTTGATCAGGAATTCTCAGCTATAAATCATTTTTTGCGAAATTCTGGCCGCTTGATATTCACTTGTTTGGCAACTGCCTCTATATCACCTCTACATATTTGCTTTTGCAGGTGAAATATACGGTGCATACAAAAACTCGACTTCCGGGTATGCGCCCCGAGACTTCTGTTGTTCGTGAGCATGAGGAGTTCCTGTGGCTGCATAGTGTTCTGGATGAAAATGAGAGTTATGCAGGGTTTATTGTAAGTATGGGTTGCTTTTTCCATGATGTCACTCTTATGTGCTCTGCTTATCACCTTATCTCTATACTATTTTTTTATAAGCATTTCGGACCATTTTAGGTACCACCTGCTCCTCCTCATCCAGATTTTGAATCATCTCGTGAGAAGCTCCAAAAACTTGGGGAAGGTGAAGCAACAATGACGAAGGAAGAATTCCTGAAGATGAAGCAGGAGCTTGAACAGTATGTTTCTCTTATCATATTCTCAGCTTTGCTTAGTTTCTCTACATGGTATTTATCGAAATTTTCTAAGGGACTACTTGGCTCAGTTTAAGAAGACCGTAGCCATGCATGAAGTGTTTTTGCAAAGAATTGCTGCACATCCTGTATTTCGGCAAGACACAAACTTCAGAATCTTCCTGCAATATGAAGATGAGGTAGATCTTTACTATCTTTTATTTTCACAAATTCTTGTCTTTGTTCTCTCCGTTTCTAAAATTTTCCTTTTTCTTTTTCCGTACAACGTTTCGTCGCTGCAAGCATAAGTAACTGCTAATAACTATTATTTCTGCATCTAATACATCTCGATTTTATAAGTTCGTCTCTCGCCTAAGGAAAGCATCCTGGAGCTTGCGTACTCGCTTTAGAGCACACTTCTGCTAGCTCTATCGTGTAATACAATGGCGATGTACGGGTAGTGGTCAGATGTTCTTGTCACCATATCTAGAAGAGCATTGTGGAGATAATGCATCTTTTGGCTTTTCCAGTGATGGTCTATGTACACTCTTTTTTTTGCTCAAAGGAGCCCATTGTGTTGCTGCAGTATCAATTTTATCACGTGATTTGGCAGGTCAAATATTCCTTGCTATCTTATATCCAGGGTTGAATTGAAAATGCGAACAAATGTAACTTTGTAAAACTCGCAGCAATTTGAAGACGGACATATTATGGCTGCAAAGTTTGAGAGCGATTCCTTTACATATGTTGATAGAGCGAGCCACTATTGCCAGCTGTGCTAACAGGAGAGCTTGAACATTCCATCCATGATTTTGATGTAGGATGCTTTGTCAAATTTGAACTTGTCAAGCTCTGCATTCTTGCTTAGTAGTCGTGGCAATCATGACATCTGACAGTTAGCAGCAGAATTTTCGCAACGCTCCAGTCAGTCAGACTGTGATTGTTCGCATCTGATTGTCTACTCCTGTCTCTCTTCTTTGCTATGTAAGTCTTCTTGGATATGGCTGAGAATCTTGATATATGGCGACTTGAACAGTAATTGCACATACATTTTTGGTCCGGAAGGTTCTTTTGTCTTTCTTACTTTACACAATTTAGCTTATGTTTCGGCTTTTGCAATAACCAGGTCTCTCGATCATGACTATGAACGCGATTTTTTCGAGAAATGAATCGTATCTCTTCTAGTAGGATTGAGACTAAAGAAAAAGTGGCGTTCTGAATTTGAAATTAGCAATCATCAATCGTTCCTCAAGCCGGATGCTTCTATAATCTGACGGACCATTAATGGCTGCTTCTCCGGTGCCGGCAACTCTTACAGGTAAGCAAGCCATGGGCTGTAAAGCCCATCAGTAGTTTCGGCACCTCAGGAGCACTATGTTAATGGTATTTACTAAAGTATGATCAGCTCCCAGATTCTTGTGGAGGCAGATTGCGGACTTCCGTGATTTCAAGGATAAGCTAACGAGAGAGTACGAAATGCGCTGCTATATTGTGGAGTTTTAACAAGTTTATCCTGAAAATCAGGAAAATCTGCAAACCGCCCCCACACGAATCTGGGAGCCGATGATATGTAACGTTTCGCAGCGGGACTTCTTTCAGCTTACCGGACGCTCGCCAAATCCCCATAATGCGTACATTTTCGAGGATGGAAGATGCTCCGTGAGACGACTCGTTCGTGACGGTTTGAGCAACTTTTTCCTTGACATCATCACCTGTCCTCGTTGTGGCTCGAAAATGAGAGTCACACAGCGTCATGGCCGATACAAAGGTGAAGCACGTTTGTACTGGACCTACAGATGTGTCGGTTGTCAGTCTTACCGCTCTCTGATATCGGCGCAGAATCAGCCGCCATCGTATGGCTTACCTAGAATCCTTGCGAACAGTAATGCTAATCGCGGAGTTATGAAACAGGAACAGAAGCCACTGTCTCTGAAGAGACCAGCTCAAGAAGAAATTCCTTCAACAGAGGCACCAGCGGAAAAGGCAAAAGAGAGCGGCTTTGTCATCTATATTCCAAGAGCGCTCTCGCCTGAAGATGTGAAGATTGTACGCTTGGCATTCTTCAAGATTCTCACTGATCAGTATGACGAAGAACGTGATCTGCCAGCTCTTAAGCAGCTCCGCGCATCGCACTCAAATCTGAGTTCGTGAGCGATTTCTGGTGAATTCAGAACTTTCAGGGTTTAGTGACATGGTGCTCAAATACCGAATCAAGGTTAAGAAACATATTTCAGTCAAATTTACATCAGATTCAGTCCTTTTCAAAATTATTTTGATCATCTGATCTTCCGAAATTGAGTTTTGGTTAGTTGTTTGGAATCTTTTTCAGTACTTCAAATTCCTTCATGCCACTTTATGTCTCTTTTTCAAGGGCACAGTGCATTTTTCGCAATATTTGCCATATCGTATGGGATCTATTCTTGCGTTTTTGTTAATTTCCAGCTATTTGCGCGTAAACATTACAATTTATTTCCTGGTGCTCCGAAGCTTCGGTGTTTCTTTGCGTTTAGAATTTACGTTATCTCAGCTTTGCATGCATCTCAATATTGTTTTCGTTGTTGTTGCTCGTTACTAATAAAATTTGGTGGAACTTTATCGCAGTCTAGTAGGTGTTTGTAGCATAGTACCTTACCTTCGCTATATTTCATTTTCACTATTTATCTTTATTCGGCTTTGCCATTTTCTTGTCCACAGTGCAGACTTGAGTTCATATCATCGCTTTTTTCTGACTAATTTCAACTTCAGTAGGTCAACTACTGCCGTTAGTCGTGTATGTCGCTTACGCATTTTTTGAATCTTAGTCAATCCAAAAATCTTGGTCAATACGCTGTTATGACAGCTCCTCCAAATTTTTTTTGTAAGCCAAGATTATCTTTGTAGCATATAAACACTTCATTACTTGTTGTCTGGATTTTCTTTCCGCAAAATTTGCAAGGGATTTCGCATATAAAGCGATTTTTTTTCACCATTCAGCAAATCAGCTTGGGAAACCAATTTTTGAATAGGTAGCTGTCATGGATAGTTAAAGATTTTATTTTTCGACTGTTTCCAGTGCATGTCGTGAAAAAAGGTATCCATTCAATGTTTCGCCATCATCTGAAACAACTTTTTCCTATGTAGCTCAACAATTTCTATTTGAGTCGTTGCTTTTACTTCTCTATACGACCCGTTGTTATAAACTTCCTTGATTCTATTATATCATTCTAGTTGGCTGTGCGAGGGAAGAACAAGAAGGAAGTAGTGGAGTCGCTTTGGAAGCGTTTTACCCAATCAGCTGATGAAGTCTTGCTGTCAGGGCAGGTGAGCAAATATTCTCTACGCATATTCTCTCAGTTTCGTTCGAGTATCATCTTTCGTCTTGGATATGTTTCGAATACATTCATTTTGTAAGAAAGTAATGGTCGCTCATTACACACATGTTCTTATATTCGTGGCCAATTTCAGAGAGATGTTGACGACTTTTTCGAACATGAGCGCAATTATCTCGTGGAATACAATACCCACATCAAGGACGCGGCTTCGAAAGCGGAGAAGGTTGTGAAATTGCGCAAAAGTGGGTTGCTTGGCATACTTTTTTGTTATTCTTTGCTATTGTTATTATTCCTCACTTTGTTTCAGTCATTATCTCGTATTGAATTTTTGAGATTGCTTTACCTCTCATGCATCTCTCTGTCCCTGAATTGCTTGCTTTTTCATTTCACTCTTGGTATTACCCATATTAGGGTCGACAAAAATAAAATTTATCTCTGAAAATTAATCTGACTTAGCTATATTCGTTCACTAGTAACTCTCTTTTTCGTCCACACTCTGAGTCGAAAATTTATTTTGAGTTTTCTTGCAAATCATTCCAATTTGCAAGTTTGCTGTGAAACAGCAACTTGTTTATTCCATGTCCCACTCAGTTTTCTCCTAATACTTGTGTTACATGATTTCGCTCTTGATTATGGCCGTCAAATCTCCTGTAGATACCATTTAATTTGAATTTGATCCGTCTTTACCTTTGATATCGCTTGCGACACAGCAATGCTAAAAAATAACTTTCAACTTTATTCGTATCAATCTCGTCATCCGCTTCGTCTGAATTAGAGGTTTATCTCGATTTGGAGATTCTTGAAGGCACCGTCCACCCAAATTCTCGACTTCCATGTTTTTGTTGCTTTCGGGCCTTCTGAAGGCCCTGTCGAATATGAAGTCGAAAATCCCAAAAACCCCTGTTTTGGAGAAAGCGGGACGGGTGGAAGTGCAGTTTGCAGGGTTGCGGCGCGGTTATTGCCCGGCGTATATCAGCGCCGCACCCCTTAAAGCTGCATAATGGGTGGAGTGACCAGCTGAGCGGAGTGACCAGCTCTGGATCACGTACCTTCCCGAGCGGATTTCTCGCTCCGGAAGCAATCTTTTGCGGGGGAGCTTGGGGGCTGGCCTAGGCCCCCCAAGTTCCCCCGCAGGCTGGGGGTTGATAACATACTAATGTGGGGGGCCCTCATGAACCCCCACTTTGAGTGGACGGTGCCTTTAACAGTGCCATGCAGTTCGGTTTTTGATGTTATCTTGAAGATTTTTGTTCGACCCCTACATTATCAGCACGGTGTAATACCTAATAGCTGATGCTACTTTGCTTTACGATTTTTGCTGACACTCATGCTGTCATAGAAACGCCCTGCATTGCGTGATTCAATGGCCTTCATATGACGTGATTGGAAAACTGCTGTTGGATGTGATGTTATTCTTTTTGGCATCATAGGCTTTCTATTCCTTCACTGCAAATGTGCTATACCTGTCCAATTAAGTGCAAAGTAGGCATTTATTGACAAAAAGATTAACATTCCTTTAAGTGACACGTGTAATTATGATCTATTCTTGCACACATTGCTTCGCCACCCTCTACTCTGCTGACGTTTTATCCAAAAGTCGAAAGGCCAACATTTAGTCATTAATACCTGATTGATGAATGCCATTCCTCTTTTGCTTTGGAACACTAGACCTTTGTATTGTTATCGTGTGTCAGCTTCTTATAAATTCACAGAAAACCTGAAATTCACAGCATGGGAAACAAAGCATAAGTTCGGAGTTGTTCTGAAGATTTTATAGAAGGCTGGAATTTACCCGGCCCCCGCAAGCGTCTAGTAACAAAGAATGCTGTGTTGATATCTAGATATCAACACAGCTGCAGCCCAGCATTTTCATAATGAGGCTTATGTTTTTTCTATATTGGTTTTTTATCAGAATTAGCAGAGAAAAGACCTATCTTTTGAGTTACCTGTGATCATTATATATAGGTCATTATATACGGAGTCGTTGGTATTAGGTGTTGTCTATCTTGTCTGTGGATAATGGAAAAGATTTACTATTTCGTGTAGTGGATTTTATTATTTTATAGGTAGAGTGACATTTCAGAAGGAGGGTATAATCAAAATTCTTTTGCGTCGAGTAACCAGTATTGGCCGTGTGCCAGAGCTGTGTCAGCGCATAGCGCGTGCATGCCCCCGTATTGATCGATTGGTATGTCTGAGCGGCGCTGGCATGGCCCTGGCACGTGCAACTCTGGACGTAGGATTCGCATGTACGCTGTGTGGGACAATAAATGTTTTCATGAGCGGGATTTGACTAGAAGCACCGCTTTACAATATCTTTTGTATCCTTTCTCTCTTTTCGTGCACTTGATACAGACTCATCTTAGCGCTCAAATGGCCTTCAACTTCGCTGTTAAGTATTCATCAAAACGTCGCGACTGAGGCTTATTGTGCTCGAGAAAGTTCGCTTGCTTGATTATCCTAGCCAGTATTCTTTGTTCATCAATCACATGCCAATCAAACGGAGTCATTTTTGGAACTTTCGGGTTTCGTTTTTTACCTTTAAAACCAGTTCTGATGTGTACCAGAGATTTCTGGAAAATTTTTGACATTCCCGAATGATTGATGGGTATTTATAGGATTGTTAGTCGACGATCATGGTCGGTTTAGTGTTCTGTTCTCACTGATGATTTTACCTGGGCATATGCCCATTGGTTGTGGGTTTTTTGTAGTAAACGGGGTTGTTGCAATTTCGATAAGCTGTATATGGCACATCTGCTTTTGTATGTCCTAATAATCCATATTCTCGGTTGGATGTTTGTCGATTGAAATTTTTTGGTTATGAGGGATATTTTGAGGGTGTCAACGTTATAAAACAATTTCCAGTTTCGTCGAGACTTCAGGAATGAGTGTATTAGATTTGGATGGCAATCATACTTTGTTACTTTATTAAATAACTTTGTTCTGTACCAGTAAAAAACTTATAGCTCAGTTAATATTGATCTTATTGTCCTTGAAAAGAGTTTAGGATCAAAACCTGGATGGTATCGTGAGGTTATGTCAATTTGTTCTTGGTACTTTCTTTTCCAAAAAAGATTCTGTTCGATAAATTTATCGTTTTTTTTTGGATTTTACAAGCGCGACAAACGACCTGATTTACGTGCCGTCCTTGTGAAGATCGACTTGCCCTTTTGAATTTCATTCGTGCCCTTCTTTGCTTAGGAAAGCAAAATAACATCATGGTCGTATTCTTTCTTTTTTAGGACTCCTACAATTTTTGCTGCTTGATGTTTTCCTCAAAGCCTTGGATTATAGTCTCCTGGGTACATTTCTCCTTTTTGGCTTTCACTTGTCGCTTGTCGCTTATAGCTCTAGCATTCTTTCTCCCTTTTTTCACTCTTTCATGCAGTTTCTACATTGAAGCGCTTTCACTGACATTTCGTACTTTTTGCCCACAAAATATCATATGACCACATGTTGCGGAGAAGCTGCTAGTGTTTTCTGAAGTTTTCCTCGTTTGATTTTTGGCTTTGACCAAACTAACAAAAAAGAAATTAGATTTGTCAGAGTCTGTCAACTAGGCAACTTCCTCACACATTTTCACTCGATGTCCATCCGTCAAATAAGTACTATTGCACTTTGGAAACTGACTTTTCGCCTCATCTTTTTGGTATAAGAGGGATTATCTGGTTGCGGACAAAATATTTAAGGTGGACACACTCTGAAGGGACGAGCCAGGGCTGAATATGGCTAAAGTTACCTCTCCCATTCGCTCATCTTTTTCAACTCTTTCTTTTGCTCCATTAGAAGGCGAGGTAGCATTGCTTAGTCTGTGTACTTTGTGAGTTGGAGAGTTTCCAATAATTTTTCACGTTCTCTTTTCCATTCTCGCTATGCTAATCCTTATTATTTCTTCGAATTACAGGCCTGTATGTGCAGATTTCAAGATATAAAGGGATTTATTTGGTGATGGTATCTGGTAATTCTTTGTTGAATTCTGTTTTTCTGTTTCTTTCATGATTTTATGAAATTACTAAATGGTCTGTTTCTTCTTCTTGCTTCAGTATATCTGATCAGTCAATGTCGTTGATTTTCTAGGCCTTTAAAATGAATTTTTCCAGGAGGAAAAACTTATTGACACCCTCTTTCCTTCGTCTTTTTTGGGTAACTTAGTAGAAAAAGAGCTTTCGAATGCATACAAACGCAATTTGCCAAATCTAACAGGAAGTCCGGAGAAAAAATAGTGTGGGTTATTGCCTAAAGCATTCAAGAATTTTTTTGCTAACTTCAAAGCATTTCCTCTTCTTTCATGTTCATAAAATTGCTTTTGTTTGAGCCTTTTAGAGCATTAGTGCCCCAAATGACGTAAATAGCACTCGTTTAGTCGTGCAAATCGGCAAAGTGGTGGTTAGAGTGCTAGCGGGGGTTCGTTTTTCTCTCTTCCGCTCTCCGCATGCACTCGACGTTCTGCAAACGTCTGCAGCGATCGAGTCGGCGGTCCTCTATGCTCCTTCCCTCCCCCCCCCCCCCCCCAGCCCTTCCCCGTCTCGTTCGCCCTTGTCCATCGCAAAAGTCTAGCAGCTGTCGTCGGTCTCTCATTTTTGTGTCTCGTCTCCACCCCTCCCCCTTCTCCAGCAGCTGTGCTAGCCGCCAAAATTGGTATTTCGTAATTTTTGTGTAAGGTCGTGCCGGGTATCTGAGACACATTTTCGACGACGGCTGAGAAAGCCGACACGATTATTGCAGAAAAGTGCAGAGCTGTCGCGTTTCGTGGAATGTCGAATCTAGAATTTTCTATTTTGAGTCGGCGAATGTTTTAAAATTGCTGTCGAGGGTGTCATCCAGCTCGAGAGCCGTATTCTTTTTTTTACTGAAGTTTTCCACTTCTTCGCATCATTTTTGGGGAGTGGTGTGCATTTTTGCGGCGAAAGAGGTGTGTCCAGGATTGTCTCTCATAGGACCCGCCCCTTTTGCCCCATTTTTCAATCTTCCTCAATAGATCTCCATGCAGTGTTTATGATTTATCATGCTAGCCGTTCATACATCAGTTCTCCATAAATGTCCCACAATGACGTAAATACGTTTGGAAAAATTCCTCATATTTGTTTACGAGGTATTTTTCGCATTTGATCGTTTTGCGCTGCTCCCCATTTTTCTCTTGAAATAAGCTGGACAGTTTAAGAATTTGTATCCTTTTGCATTTGAATCAGATTGTAGGAAGCCTTGAATTGGCAGATACATTCATAGCCTTTGTTCTTTACCTTGGTACAATCGCGGCCAGAAAAAACAAATGCCTTAAGCTTTTTACGAGACTTTTTCATCCTATGTATTCTGATTTTACCTATGTTCTGCCATTCTACTATTTGGTGTACGTAATTACATAGTTACACGATATGTTTACTCTTATTTCTGAGGTGTGAAAATAGATGAGTAGGAGTTGACTGCAAAGTTATTGCTTTCTGCATGTTCTATGTGCGATGTTAGAGTGCAGCCAAAAACGTGGGCTTGTTAGCAAGTCAAGCCGGGAATTTATGATCATACTAGCTGAAAGCTTTCATTTGTCTGATTATGCTTCTTTTTTGTCGATTATTCGCATTTTAATCCCTTGTGAATAATCATTCTGCGAATTGGTACAAGTTCAGGTTTTGCTTGCTTTAACTTTATTACTCCTCGCAGTTGATTGATTTGAAGTCGGAGAAGATATAATCTGTTTTAGAGGCGGTGTCTCGGCAGAATTCATTTTTTAGTTTTTCACCATTTCGAAGCTTTCTCGCTAAGAGGAATCCATAGCGCTTTTCAGCGCTGAGGCAAAATTTGGAAAACGAAGTTCTGTCGAGACACTGCCTTTAATTGCGAGAGAGAATAGCATAAAACTGCAGATCTCGCTAGATCCCTTGAAATTGGATAAGTATCACGCTGTCGGAGCATCTTCGACTACGATAGGAGCACAGTAAGACAGCGAAATTACGAATTTACTTGAAAGTTTCCCAACCTATCATTCGATATAGTTTTTGAAATGGTTACTTACTTACAAGGGAGTCTTGTTTAGTCGAAGTGGCCTTTCTATTTAAATGGATGTACACCACATTAAAGGCCATAAAACGCTGACCACAAACCTGCCTTCCTTATTTGCAGAACGTTCATGGACGAGAAGTTATGAGCGTTTTTTAAAGCCAGGAATTGAATGTGCATTTTGGATAGAATGAGTTATTAAAATCTTACTAGCCCTTAAATAATGCAACAAGTGTGACACATTTATTTGATGTATAATAGTTTTTAAATAAAGTGCTTTGATGTTTATCACTGCTCCATTAGAGCTAGAAAAAGTATTGCGGCTACTTTTGCTCTAGTTGCACATTCAATTTTTCGCTCCAATAAGCGCTCATCCTCATCCATAAATGCTCTGCAGATAGGGAAGGCAGATTTGGAATCAGCAATTTATGCCCTTTAATATGGTACACATCTTATCTAAAAAAGCCACTTTCACTAAACATGTATTCCTTGTCAGACATTCTTAATACCCTGAATCCAGTCATGCAAAATGAATGAGATGATTGTGTTATGTGTGAGATTGTTTGAAATTTTAGACATTTTTGCGATTACCTATCTCATGCATGAATTCATAAATTCAGCGAGAGGTGCACGCAGGATCGTGATTGCATGATATTTCGCTTTCCTAAAAATTACTGCTTCTCTTTGGAAAAAAATAATCCCGTTTGCGCTGGACTCCCTCTATGAACATACTTTCTTTTCTTCTGTGAAAGCAGGTATTTGTGTGTTCTACTTGGATCCAAAGATTCTAAGAAATCAAAGATTTCTTATAACTATTCATCTAACTTTGAGCTAGAGTTTTGATATATTACCTTGAATTTCATGAAAAGCCAGCAAATGGGTCATCAGCTGTGAAATAGTGACTAGTGAAATAGCACATTTTATCGCCTTTGTGAAGACGAAAGGCCTAAGTGGGCCCTGACTTTGGGCCAAGTCAGCATTCTGCTTCTTGGGGTTCGGCGACCCTCAAAATCGTGGTCTTTTCGACTATGAAGGAGGTTGTGTTAAGTGCACATTCGTAAGTTTCAACACATCCACCTCTCATTATCCCAATTTTTCAAAACCCGCTTTCTCCTCCGAGAGTCGTTGGGGGCAGAGCGATTCTTTTTAGCGCTACAGTATCTTGCCTAAATTTCATCAGCATCTCTGAACAGGCGGCATTCCAATGTGGGCGTCTGGCCAATGTTGCGATCATTCACCAAACCAATCAGCTGTCACATTGTGGGGTTCAAGCAGGTGTTTTTCCGTTGCCTCCGTCCATCGCTGTTGCCAAGAACTCAGCGCTCAGTTTATCTTTCCCACACTTCACTGCAATCACGAACACGCTTGGCAGTCATCGCTACGAGCGCTCACGGCTCGTCGAAGCTTCTCGCATCGTTTTCTGTTTGTTCGCTTGGGCTTTTGAGACGTTATTCTGCAGCTAGGTTTTTGAGCCTCTTATTGTGTGGTTGCCTAGAGCCGGGTGCTCGTAATCATTATGTTAGAATGTCAAAAGAATGTGAGGTTTAATTTTCATAGGATTGTGGTGGTTACTAAGAGTCAGATAATAATAATTGAAATAATTGTTCTGGGTGGACTATGGATGCCGAGTTCTATTTTTTCCTCCAATAATTTTAATGGTAGCTTTCATACTTTTCGCATAGAAATGTCATCTGATTTAGGGGCAGCGATTTTCAATGGAAAGACTTGTTCTTCCATTCAATACATTCCTTGTGCGCTTATACGGAATCTTGTAATTTTTAAATTTTTTCTATAAAAAACTGTCGTTGCGGAGATTTGTAGACTCACTCTGTCAGCTTTTGGTGAAAAAAGTGCATTGTTTGTCAAAAGACGAAAAATCAAAATCGCAACTTCATTGTGAAGTTGCACACAACGTGCACTTTGCGCGTAATCGGAGTCTGTTGGCCCCGTAGCAAGATTTTTCTGGAAGTGACCTGTTTTGTGTAATTTCAGCAAATAATTATGCAAGTAATTTGTTTCTGGTTGTGAATGATTTGGGTGATTTCAATTAGTCTTTTATGATTATTCTACGGTGACTAATTTTTGCATATACATTTAGATTTCAGTGTTTTGAAGTCCTAGAGAGAATAATATCATTTATCAAATTCATGCAATGAGTACGGTATTTTGACGCACAATATGGAAATTGTGTGCATTTGTATAGTCATTCTCTATGTTCGAGTTTTTTTTCAGATATCAATTGCTGTTAAAACAATCTGTATTTCTATTGCCTTTATGTCCAGAAAAGTTTATTTTGCAGTATTTTTTGGAATCATGAGAAATTCTGGAATCCTTGGTAGAATTACTGCTCATTTATTTCACTGGATCACAATTTGAAAGACTTCGCAAACTTTTGATTGACAACAGGCCATAGATCCTTGAACAATTAGCGCCGTGCCATGCGCTCGTCCTTCGCGATGAGGGATGCCCACATCGTTGTTGATCTATATACGTCTGGGAAAGGGGCGGCCGCATGTTCGTGTCGTAAACAACGAATGTTGTTCGTGTACCAACTGTACTAACTGGTTTATCCGCTTCAAGTTTTCTAGCAAGTTTCGTATCGCAGCATTGATTTGAAATTTTAGAAAGCGTGGAATGTGATTTTTGGGATTCGAAGTTTTTCAGTTGGTATTTATTGAATTCAACAGCTTGAATTTGGCCAAGACAGCAAAACAAAAGCTTCGGATTCTACCCGGTTTCTATTTTTTGCGAATATGTTTGTTTCTTGATTCTTTCGATATGGAAGCCTGTAAAATCTCTTCGTTTCCTGCGATTTTTGATTCCTTCTTGCACGAGTCGTGGCGTAGCCATCAACAGAGCTTTCGATCATATTTCCATATGTTTACCTTCATACTCTGATTTGAGTATGGCAAAAATAGCTGCAATGATGAAATACCGAATGAGGCAGTTCCATCTTGGTACCATCTTTTAATTTTGAAGCGTGCCTTGCAAGTTGGGATCCTGGACCCCTTTTTTACTAGTGGGAGGCTTTGACTAAGTTATCGGCCAAGTTACAGCTCATTTGAGGCATTCTTGACTGAGATAATCAAGCGTAAAGTTCAGCCCAGACCGTATTCTACCCCGGCCCCAACCAGTACGGTATGGGCCAGAGTTCAAGCTAGTTTTACTCCGCCTTGAATGAATCATTTGAGCTGCTGCTTGTGCAGTAGCTCATTTCAACTCATTATATGTCTACACATGAAATATGCGAGCACCTTCCAAAATTGCTAAGCTATACTTCATGTTGCTTCCCCCCACACTCCCATTCCCTTCTCCTTTCCCCATTCTTACGTCATCGTCTACATAATCTGAATAAACCAGAATATATATGCTAAAATATGCTATGGATGCACTTTTGCGATAGGAACGAGGTTTTTTGAGATGACTGATTTTTCAGCACGAACAAGTGCTAGTTTTTGTCGATTCTGCGCTACAGGTGTTCTGCAAACGAATTCCAGCTATAGTGCATAGCAGCGCATTTTTTGCTTTGTCATTACATTAGCAGTGCTTCCGGCTATGACGAATGTTAAATGTAGCGCGAGTCTCTTGCGATGTCTATACCATATAGTCTTCTTTTTCAAACACTTGTGCAGTTTTGATTTACTACCGTATGACTACCGTAATCCTACTTTACCACGATGCGCATACGTGTTTATTATTCTTGAGTGGCTCAATCAATCCTATGAATCCTTTTCTCGAGCTTGTTGCTTCTGTCTACATACCTAATAAACATGTGCCGAAATTCTTGGCTTTTTTTCTTCCAACAGTTTTCTCTTCTCATCTTTTTCGCATCATACTTGATTATTCTATTCGAATTTATGGATTTTGAAGGCCATGAAATTTAGATGTGGCCGAAACATATGCAAAAATCGGCGATTGCCTCGAACGTATGGCTCGTGTCGAACCGGACAAAGTGCTGGCTCGAACTGAGGTACGAGCATCGGATGGAATGCATAAAATGAAGAAGGTGAGCACTTTCAAAAATATCATAGAAGGCAAATGTCAATTTATTTGGGTAAGACGACAGAGGAAGGGAAATCAAATTTTTTTAGTCAAAAAAGTCTACGAGCTGGTAGTGGACCAATTTGAGTGCCGTAAAGGGCACACGGTTTCCACTTTCTCAATTCATCTCCCTCAATTATTTATTCAGAAACGTTCCGAAATCATGATTTCCATAGTGCTGGAGGGATTGCAGTTTCACATCAACGATCAGACTCATCAGATCTACACTTTGATTCAACTGGCTTAGCGGCTGGAAGAAGGGGCTTCATGACCTAATTAGCGCTACATAGTGAACAGAGAGCACGCGCGCGACAGAGACGCAGACTGCGTGCGCGAGCGGAGCACCGCCTTTCAGCCGTCAAGCCAGTTGAATCCAAGGTTACCTTTCTTATAGACTGCAGTATTTCTCAGTTTGCTCCCTAATTTCTATCAATGAGTTAGATTGAGAAGGGGGGGGGGGGGGAGTTTTTAGAGCGATTATCGCAAAGAGCAGAAACTCATAATGTGCTGAAAGTTAGTTAGGTAGTCAGAAACATTTTTTTAAAATTTTGAAACCTTGATCAAACACAAGAAGAAAATCAGCGAAATTTGCCTCTGATATTTTCTGTTCAAGGTTGAAGCGCGTTCCGCAAATGACGAAGAATTGAAGTTGACTGATACATTGACATACTTCACTAGAGATACTCAAGCTGCCAAGGTAAGCTCTTATTTGAGGCTTTTATGTCTTTTTTCCCTTTTCCTATTTTCTTCACGACCTATCAAGCTTCATGAGATGCGAAACTCATATCTTTCCGCATCTATGCATTAGCGGATTGCTAGCTGTTTGCGAGGTGCAGATGAATTATTGATCTGAAATGGATAAAGAGTCTATGGGGATGAGATACGCTTTTCATCTTCTCAGCTCATTATTCATGATGTTCTTTTCCGCGACGAAGGAGGAGAACTATGTCTCAGACTATCGCTCTGTTTTCTATTTGTACAGCGTCTGTCTACCACTTAGAAGGAAATGAAGTTATTGTTGATTCGTACTAGTAGATAATCCTTACCGACAATAAGGAAATTTTCGCGAGGATCCTGCCTCTACGAATCAGAAATCGTGGGAAAGTCTTCTTTTTAGTCATATTGAAGAGGGATATTTCCATCGCATTGGAAAGTTACAATTCAGATAGGCTTTTAATTCTTTTTTTTTGGCAAAATCTTTCATTTGCATGTTTTCGTCGGCGAGAGTAAGTTTCTGTCGCCATCATAGCTTGCTGATAATGTAATTTTTTTTTTCGGAGAAGGTGGCTATGATGTTGGACTGGTCAGTTTTTTCCTTTTAGCTCTCTGCTTATAATGCTTGATCTTTTCTTTCGCATAGATCACCAACTCAGTCCAAGTAATTCCTTTTCATTTCCTGTTTACCGAGTAGAGCGCTGCCTGTGTAAACATATTGAGCCAAGTAACCAACTTGGTCCAATTCGTTTATTGTAAACGTCATTTGTGGGATTTTCGTGAGTAAAGTCTTTAGTGGATAGCAGGGCTCGAAGTGTCGAGATTCTGCGCTCCGAAGTGTTCCATTTTCCTACCACTTCCCCCCCCCCCCTAACCCCTACCTCTGATGCATTTTAATGTCACTGAGAGGTAGCCGCGCCCATGAAGATTCTTGGATCTCGCCTAGGAAACGACTTTATCGGAGAAGAAGTTCGATATCTTTTCTAGCTGGCGCTCAATTCAATTTCTGAGCGGCGAGTACTTCAAGAACACTCTAAAGGAACTTGCACTCCTCAGGCCAGCACAACCACCATCTTGAAGGACGCAGCGCAAAGCGTTTCACTTTCATATGGTGTGCAGGAAGTAAGAAACGAACAGCAGCAGCGGTGTCTCGAAAAAGATCCATCATATCGCGCACGAGCGGCGCTCGCGTCTGCAGCTGGGGCTGATCCCAAAAGTGCAGAGCATTTTTTGTGTGCCCCCTTGAGAGATCGGCCCCATCTTGCAAATGAGACGCACTTCGTTTTTCGCATCTGTCGTCGGAAAAACGAATTGGAGAGACCGCTGTGACGCATTGGTGAAGACTTTTCGTGGACATTTCGTGTTTGTCGAAGCAGACGAGAGGTCAGTGAAAAATGTGCTCCGCAAACACAGAAATGTTGCAAAACGAGGTCGACGCGCTTGAGTGGATTGCGGGAATTTTGCGCCCTGAATAGGCACTGTACAAATAGGAGCTCAGCGACAAATCGTCATCGAACGCCGGAAATTTTTGTTGCCATTCATCATAGAGGTCATACTTTTACCTAGTCAATGTGCTATGAAAATCATTTTCGTGTTTTTGTTTTGTTTTGTTTTGTTTTTGTTTGTTTTTTTAATCATTTTTGCACCTCAGAAGATCCGCAATTCTTGCTTGTAAGCGCAAATGCGTGAGAGTTTGGTCTTAATTCTTTTTACAGGAAATATGCAGGCTTAGCCTAAAATCATGGAATTTTCAATTTATCTTCCAAAGGCTTTATCAGGTTTTCGTGTTCTCTTTACATTCTGTTAAATATCTTGGGAACAGGTTCTCAAAAGCTCCTATTGTCGGGACCTGCGGTCAAAAAATGCGATGATAGTTGTCTGCTTTTTTGTCAAAGTCGCCCTCTTTCCCATGCATGAAAAGAAATCTGAATGAAAAACTACTGCAAAGAACTTTTATGGAAAGTTGCCTTGTTTTTTATTGGAATTTTTCGGGTCAAAATGTTTTAAGAAGATTGTGTCGCAAGAAAACACTTATACCGGAAGTATTGGAGTTTTTGTGATCTTCTCAATGGTAAGAAAATGCATGACTTCCCATGCATAACATTATAGAAGAATTTGTTCTAAGCGTATTTGATGGGACAATTGTGGAGCCAATGCGGCTCATGGCAGATTTTTTTACCCATGAAGTTGTATTTATCGCTGTCTTCTATAAGCGTGGGGGGGGGATGGCCTGGCAAGCTAAATTTTCCGTGAAGTGCCCTGGGAGATTTACTAGAAAAATTTGCTTTTTAACACTGAGTCTCAATGAAGAATCTGTGATTTATCTTCATTTCTCGCAAATGACAACGTGGCTTGCACAGTTCACAAGCTCACGTGACTTTCAAAAATTTTGTTTTACATTTCTGGTGGAGGGGCTTTATACTACGGAGATATTTTTGTCCTCGAAATTTCCATCCTGCGAAGAATAATTTCAACCATATCTTCCCCAACTATTGATCTTCATGTGCGTCACTGCTCCGTCAAATCTGCACTCGAACATAAAATATGGACGATTAACCGCTCTTTGATAGTTTTCGGTCGTCACTCTCATTCCTCTCCCCAGTCCATTCCTCGTAAAAATGGTGTCCGTCGAGGCGCTTTTTGGCCGCCAGACGTAGACGTCCTTCACCATCGCCATTTTTCTCATCTAGTGGGTCCGGAAATTGGTTCTAGAGCAACGATTCGTTTATATCGCATCGCCTGCGCCCGTCTAAGGGCCTCTTCTAGTCAATTTTGAAGTATCACGCCCTTGAAGAGGCGATATGGGGCATATCAGGCGTTTGAAGGGCTTCTACCTCGCTTTGCGCAAATTGCATTTCAGGCACTTTGCAGTTTTCTTTTTGAGAATTTGGCTTCGACACATATACTGAAGTACTCGTAGATTGATAGAATACACCTCTCGCTTCACTGTAGGGATCATTTTAAAAATGAAGCTCTTCTATACTATCCCTGTTATTTTTTGGAACTTTCTCGGAGTTATTTTCGTATTAGGACCTTTTGTGAAGCTGCACTATAATTGTGTGGAGATAAGTGCTGGATTTCTAGCTTAATTTAAAATTCGGTGGGTGCAGTATACCTGCCACTATCTTGAGGCACGATGGGAGACACCGAGTCAAATTGTATCAGTTCTTATGTACAATTTAAAGGCAGTGTCTCGGCAGAATTTCCTTTTCCAGTTTCTCGCCTTTTTCTAGCCTTCTCGCCATGAGGACTCCGTGTTGGGCTTTTCAGCACATGAAGATGGCGAAAACGAGGTTTTTCCAATTTCTCCAGGTCTGCATTCAGTGAAGATACGCAAAAGCCTTTCGCGCCCCGCCTATCTCGTTCCGGGCCCCGCCCATTACACGTATTCTCCATTGACTGCAACCTGAAAGACGGAGCAAGCTTTTTTTGCCAATTTCATGCGCTGAAAAGCTCAGATATGGACCCTTCATGGCAAGAAGGCTCCGAAAAAGTGAAAAACTGGAAGACGAAATTCTGCCGAGACACTGCCTCAAGCATACCCAGGGGGTAACCAGAGACGTTCTCGGTATGGTTGACTGCACGGAATCGCCTAGGCTGTCCTTGAGCGCTATGATGACTTGCCTCTTGCAAGTCATCATAGCGCCCTTAGGCTGCGTTCACACTGATCCCGAAGTTCTGGAACAGCACGAGTTTAGTACGAGCGCTGTGCTGGACCTGTTCCCGAACTTCGGGATCAGTATGAACGCAGCCTCACTTAGCAGCCGCGTTGCAGACACGCTCGTGCGTTCAGCCTATAGCGATCCGTGCATTTTCGTGCAGTCGACTTTATCAGTTCTCTTGTAAATCTACTCACAGGTGTCGGAAAATTTATGCAGAAGTTGTTTATGAAAAAAAAAAATCCTCTCAAGTTTAATCGCCGTATAAGGATAAGCCGGATGTTCAATATACGTTGCAGTTCATATCTAAGAAAGTGCATATAATCGACGAAGTGAATAATAAGTGGAGGCTTACGTAAGATAGCACTTACCATGGTTTCCTGGTAAGAAGATTATTGCGCAGATAACATGCTCGATTGTCACATGTCTATGCTTGGTACTTTTACAGGGTTCTTCATGCAAGTAGGTCACCATTTATGGTTGGAGAGTTTTTGAAAATTTCACCTTTTTTTCATTTTTGGAGCACATTCGCAAATCGCTCCACTCGAGTGTGGTCACCTTACATGTGGAATAGGGAACTTTATTGAGTCTTGGCCCAAGCGGGAGCTCTTATGGGTTATATCATGGCCGAGAAGTTCAACTTTATGCTCTCGTCCAATACCGTACCTTTCGTCGTGACGCTACTCGGGTACGGTACTGGGCGAAAGTATAGAGTCGAAGTTCTTGGTCACAAATGGATCTTCCAAGCTTTCGCTTGGGCTATGGTTTAGTGAAACCTCCCAAACAAACCACCTACCCGAACTGCCTGGAACTCTTGTCCAAAAGGAAGTCACTCTTTATTGAAAGCTATCTATGTGTGCAATAGAAAATTATTCCTTATGTCCTTTTCCTTTTTTTTTGAGCGGATCTCTCATTGCCGTCTAAATAGGCAAGCCTGCGTCAGTTTTTTTTGTCTTGCAGCTATCGTGCATCTTCGTCTCAGAGCCTCATCCATCTATTGGCTCTTGTCCATTTTTCTGAAGCCTCTCCATGAGTTCAGAAGTCCAGAGCCTTGCAGCATGTGAGAAAAACTTTCAGCGCAATAATGTTCAGGGAATACGACTAGAGAACTCTGGCAGCTGCAGAACAATTTGCACGATGTTAGAAGTGGGCAGTGGGCGGTCTTTTTCTAGGAGATATCGGGGCGATTAAAGGGGATTTTGAATTGTGGGGAAGGCAGGAAAAAAGTATGTAACAGATGTTCTGGAAGACCTCGGTACGGGCTTATTGCGCGTTGTTGCATCTCCCAAGCAGAAATCTGTCAATTTTTTTGCCGGAAACTCAT